ACTCCTGTCACTACAAACCTCTGCTAGGACACACTATATAAATAATTACCAAAACATCTGCCTCACTTCTTAACACACCACAGCTGACACAGCTCATGGACCTTCAGAGACTTTCCAACTTCATACCCAAACTGAGGGGGCTCACTGTCTTGCCATGTGCTGAGTGGGCAGGAAGAAACAGATCTTCAAACTTTTTCTGGAGATGCCACGGGGCCACTCTGGCACTGAAATCTAGCTTCTTTCCTATCGGTCTACTATGCCTGGCAAATTCTTTGTTTTTGAAACTTTATCTGTCCGGGTGTTTTGCCTGCACACAAGTCTGTGCACTATACCCTGGTGCCGTTGGAGGCCAGAAGAGGAAGGCGTCAGATGCCCTGAAACTGGAGTTGTGGGTGGTCATAAGCTGCCAGGTGGGTGCTGTGCTGGGAATAGAACTCCAGTCCTTCGGAAGATCAGCCCAGGCTGCCAACCACTGACCCCTCCTCTTTCCACCCTCAAGGCTCACATTCTTAATTTGATTATGAGGGCCTCAGTTTCCATTCCAGAAAGTGGACAACTGGACAGCTTCCAATCCCCAGAGTCCACCCTCCGTAGCCCACGGTGGGTGGCTCCACCCCTTGCTCTAGTGATCGGCTCCTTTTGGCACTAGGAGGCACCGAACTTGAGAACAGGTCACCGGAAAGTAACCATGGCCCCCTGCAGATCCCTTCCCAGAAATCCCCAGCTTAAAGGGCTGAAGGACAAGCGTCAGTAAAAGGGTCGTGAACAAATCCCACCTCTGTCTGCCACCTGCACTGAGCGCAACAAGAATGTGTGAAAGGCGGCACACCCCAAGCCTCTCGGGTGACAGGGTGACAAAAGAGGATACCCCTTAAAAGAATCTTTCTCCAGGGCCACCGTGATTTTGAAGTGTGAGGGTTAAACAATTTGGGGGAAAGGCAGGCGCCTAAGGCTTCCCACAGCGACTACCGCCCCCTTCCCTGTCGGCATTCCTTCACTTGGTGGAATTCCTACACAAAGCCCCCTTTTTCCTTTCTATGAGGTCACCAGCGCATAGAAGTCCAAGAGAGAAAAAACAGCTCCCTGTGGGTAAAGCCTTTGGAACTGAATGAATCCAGGGGCCCCACCTGCAGTCTGCCAGCCCCTCCAGGGTGCAGCTCCAGGGGTGGTAACCAAGGGTTTTTTTGGGGGTGTTGCGATCCTAGCCAGCCCAGTCCAAGAAGCCTGCCTAGGAGACCAGCTCCTCAGCTGCCAGACCACGTGAGAAAGTTGCCTGTGGGGACTTAAATCTACAAGTATCCCCTGTATATGTGGATCTGTATTCACATAGCAAGTCCTGCTGGAGTGACAGATGTCAAAAAGCCAGGTCACACTCTCAAGTTCAAGTTCCCAGGATTAACGTCACAGGAAATTACATCACTAACGGATGTGCCCCAGTGCTACTTCTGTCTGGACCTTGGGTCTGAGATGGACACAGGCCTGGCCTGAAGATGGATTGTGTGTATGTCACCAGATTTGGACAGGAACGGGGGAAGTTTCCAAAAAAAGAAAGAAAAAGAAAAACGACAGACAGACGACCTTACCTGGGCTGAAAGAACAGAGAACACAGTCAGCAGAATATATAGTGCCTGCTCAGAAACTCCAAAACCCTTTACAGATACCCAGACCCCCCTAGATGACCCTTCCATGATCTCCCTGCTCCGAGAGCCCGAGGCCTAAGGGCTAGCAAACTCCCTCACTTTGCTACCTATGATGGTGTCAGCAAAAATTAAGTTAAATAAATAAAAATCTAGAAACAAGGCCTATTTTTACCTCTGCAAATCACAGGCCAGATGGGGAGAAATCTATCAATGCCAGAACTGTGGCTGAGCCTTCCCATAAGATCTATTACTTCACGCCTTACATTAAGGCATTGCATTGCAAAGCACTCTGCCAGTGTTGATCAGTTTGCAGAGCTTTTTGGAAGAGGAAGAGCTACCTTTCCCTTTTAATGCTGGAGGGCACAGAGCTGGGCAGGCACAGCCCAAACCACACAGGTCCTTGCACACAGTCCTCTTCTGAAACACCAAAAACAGACATGAGTGAGGAAGTGAACTGGAAGACCCAGTTCAGAATGACAGGTGACAAGGAGTCTTTGCAAAAAAAAAAAAAAAAAAAAGATCATGTCAGATATTCAGGATGGAGAGTGAGGCCCCAAGGAGCTCATTCTCCATCTCTCTAAGAAGGTCTGAGGCTGCCGGGCTCTTCCTGGGGGCTGAGTCCAGCTTTGTCTCCAACTTATATCTATACTGTTTATTTAATCAATTTATTTATTTAGATGGGGTCTTGGTGTATAATCCTGGGATAACTGGTACGTGCTGTATAAGTCCAGGCTGGCCTAGAACTTAAAGCAATCCTCCTGCCTCAGCCTCCCAAAGTACCAGGATTATGTACGTGAGCCACCACACCTGGCTGTAACCCATATCTAATCTTAAATGACTCACCAAGTCCTCCGCCCTCACCTCTCTCTTTGGTGCAGCCTGAGAGGAGAGAAATGGTATTCTCCTTTTGACAATGGTTTGTCCATCCTTGCCACTTGGAAAGACTGTAGTCCTCTTACTCTGGTGGCGCAGCAGCCTTTGGGAGGACCTCTCCCAGAACTCTGGAACCAGGCAGGCCCTGCAGAACCTGGCCTGTCTTAACTCACTTAGCTTTACAACATGCCAGAAAAGCAAAACACAATTAAGATAGCTGGTGTGCTTCCCGTTGAGAAAGCTGGTCCTGGAATCACAGACAGGAATTTAAATCCTGACTTTGCCATCTACCAGCTTATCAACATACACGAACTTTGCAAGTTCACAGGAAGACTACAGACTCTGTCCAGACAAGCCTTCGTGCAAATTCTGAGTCTACTGCATACTCTATAGTCTCTGGTCTCTTCATGAATAGAATGGGCACCATGACAGTTCTCATCTTAGAGTGTTGGTGAGCCCGATGATAGGAAATAACTTCAAACTTGCTCAGCACAAGGCATATCCTCAGTCACGGGGGCCACTGGTCATGCTGTTACTAGCTATGCCAGCCAGGTCGTCTCTCATAGTGTCTGTTTTCTCATCTGTACAACACAGACAATAATTTCTGACTTATGGTGAGCCCCAAGGAGCAGATGCTCAAGTTCTCATCACTCAGGCTGTGCACCTTAGGAAGTCAAGTGTCAAGCCTGGGGCCCAGTGGACGGACCTCAAAGGCAGGCAGGTGGCTCAGACCTTGGCCAACACCCTCTCACTGGTGGCCTGGGACACAAGTTTGATCTCTCTATGATTCCGATTCCTCCTGCACAAAACCAAAAACAGAGTGGGATGCCAGGACAGATAAGGACTCCCTGGATCCATTCTCAGCATACAGTAGGTACTCCGTAAATGATTCAATCCCTTTGCCTCCTCCTTTCTCACCCCCGTGTCACCTGGGAAGGCCAGGATCTCCATTTCTGGAAACCTAACCAGCTCTAAATCCTGGCCAATGCTTAAGTCCGAGGCTTGAATTTTTAGAGATAGTAAATGACTTTTGTCGTCATTTCTGAAGCAGACTAGGCTCAGAGGCTCACAAACCACAGGGACCATTTTAAACCCCGGGCCTTTTCTTCTGGGAAGTTAGGCAAGAACCTTCCCAAATGTTTGCCGTGGGGCCCTCTGCCAGGGAGTGACTCACTCCTCCGCTCCCCACAGGCATATTTTATTTGGGGGTGGGGGGATCCAGGGAGGGCCTGGCCCTGGTGGGGGAGGGGAACAGTTCCAACACATCCAGAAGGTGGGGATATTTTTTCTTCTCCAGTTTTCAGGACAAAGGGGAAAAAAGAACATGGGTCTTTTTTTGTTTCCTTCCAGGTTTTGTCTACTGAAAGACGATGTCCAAAGTTCACTGGTTAAGTTCCTCCTGTTGGGAGTCAGGCACCCATTCAATGAAATTCTTCTCCCATTAGCAACAGGGTTTTTAGCATGCCCTTTTACACACACCAGACTCCTGTGAGGACATTTTCCCCTCAGAGACTCAAGCTGCGTTTTGCCAGTGGAGAGAAACTGTGAACAGAAACTTTCTAAAGTTTGCTCTAAAGCAGTTAAAACTTCCAACCAAGGTTTTCAACACACACACAAACTGTCAGTCAAAAACTGCAAGGACAGCCCTCAGAGGACGTGTCCTAAGCATGCTGTCACCCATTTGTTACTGTCTCTGGGGCTCGGATAAAATAGGGAAATACGATTAACTTAGAGGGACAGGCAGAGAGGACAAGTATCTGGGGCCCTGGGTCTCCCTCGGGCCTAACCCCTAGGTATGGGGGTGGGGGTGGGGACCAGAGTCCAAATCTGGCCTAGCTAGAGAGAGTCACGGACAAAGCCAGGGAAGTAAGACGTATTTAGAAAAACCTCAATTCAAGTCCAGTGCAGCCCCCTCCCCAGCCTGCGTGGCCATGCAGTGTCCTGCCAGGGCCGGGCTGAGCGGCTTCCACCAGAGTTACAACCTAGGGAATCTGCGGGTCTGTCCCAGGGCCCCAGACTCACAGAATCCGGCCCAGCACCCATCCGGTGCCCTCTCCGGGCAGGGTCATCCGGCACATCACACACACTGGCCCGCAGTGTGGGGCGCTCAGCCTGGATCCTAAACACACTCGTATGGAATTTGTACACTTTTGCCTGTGCACGTGTGCACACACTCACTCGGGAACGTTCAGACACGTGGGCACACGTACTTTTCTGGCACCCCCGGTAAACAACCGATAAACGAATAAGCGGGAGCCGAGCCTGTCTACCAGCACCGGTCCACCCCAAACTCACAGCCGGGGCCCCCTGATGTGCACACGCACGCACGCACTCCCGCGCAGCGGGGCGGATGGAGCCCCGCCGCGGACACCTCGGCCTCCTGCGGGCGTCCCTGCCGCCTCCCCAGGCACGCGCGCGCGCCCACAACGCCTCGGGCGACGGCCCCACGCCCTGGCCCGCGCCCCTCGCCGGCCCCAGGCCACTCACCGGCGCCGGCGACTCTCTCGGCGGCGGGCGGAGCGCGGGTCGCACGCGAGTTGGCGACTGGGCAGCCGCAGCTAGTCCACCGGGTTCAGCCGCCGCTTCTGCGCGCGCCCGCGCGCCCGCCCCTCCCCGCCGCGGGGCCGCGCCGCCCCCTGCGCCCGTGCGCGCGGCCGCCACGCAGGCTAGGGGGCGCCGGGGGCGCGCTCCCAGCCTAGGCGCTGTTCGTCTGGCTCAGGTTGGGAAACTGAGGTCCAGACTCTTTAGTCCTGGCCGATGAACCCCTGTGCGCGGGCTCTAGACTCTTTAAGATGCAAATTTGCAGGGTAGCTAACCCGTGGACCCTTCCCCACGCCCATGGGGTCCCCGTCAGCTGACATTGCTCCCACTACAGCCCTAGCACGGCTGAAATTGACCCAGCCACCGAGTGGAGCAGGAGTTGATAGAGTGGAGTGCTTTCCTAACCTCAGCGCTGGGGAAGCTGGGCACCTGTAATCCCAGCATTAGGAAAGCTGAGACAGGAACGTTTGAAATTCAAAGTCATTCTTGGCTTTACAGCAAATTCCAAGCCAGCCTGGGCTACATGAGACACTGTCTTAAAAAATAAAAAATAGTGCTCAGTATGTACAAAAGTACAAACAGTACTCCATACAGGCACGAAAGTAGGCCCTACGGTAGATCCAAGTTCCTGCCTTCAAAGTGCCAGTGTCTCCTGGGGAAATTACCCTCCTGGGAACTCCAGGCCTGCCAAGGGTCAATGTGCAGAAGGTTCTAGAAGGAGTAAATGGCTCCACTAGGGGGCCAAATAGCCCAGAGGGACCTGAGTTTGATCCTCCAGACCGACATGGTGGAAGGAAAGAACTGACTCCGGCAAATTGTCCCTAACCTTCACGTGCCCTCCACATGCTCACTGTGTTGTATGTTTAAAACAAAAACAAACAACAAACAAACAAACAAACAAACAAAAAACCCTCTTCATCTATGAAAACTTAACAACCCCACTAGGATGTCCAAGCTTCACTGGGGAGCAATTATGGAGACTTCCACTTGCCCTCAAGAGGGGACGCTCCTGGCTGGGAGGCATTGCTGCTCTCGACTATTCTAGACCATCTGTGTCCCCTAGAACACCTGCCAGCTGTCCATTAGTCTGCTGTGCTGGTCTGGGCACCCTGCTGAGTGGGCTTCAGCTACCTACCCAAGTCCACAGCGACCAGTCCCATAACCTACGCTGGCACCTCTGCCTGCCTGGTGGGCCTCAGTCCCTGTGACAGAGACATCCTGCCACCCTTGTGCCCATTTCTTAGATGGCTTTAATGATGCCAGTGCCCAAAGTCCCTCAGGTGGTGAGTGGCAGACCTGGAAACAGATAACAGAGTTCTAGTTTCAGCACCTTATTGCTAAGCAACCTGGCTCTAGGGACCCGGTGTGAGAAAGGCATGGTCACCAGCCCAGAGCAGCCAGGCTGGTTCCCTGAGCCTAGGAAGAGGGAAGTGACACCAGCAAGTTGTCCCTGACTTCCACATACACATTGTGGATTGGGGCATGTGCACACAGAAAAAAACGTTGTTTTGAAGAATGACTGCTTAACACCCGCTCAAGGAAGTCTGAGCTTCTCGGGGAAGCAGATGGCAGGATAGATAAAGTTAAGCAGGGCCAAGACGGGAGGACCAGGGGTGCTTTCTAAGATGCTATCAGGAGGGAAGGTCTCTGCTAAGGAGAGGGTGGTCGTGAGAGGCCTGCTGTGTTCTGACCAGGTACCATGCTGTCAGAAATGTCCTGGCAAACTGCAGAACAGCTTAGGAGCAGCATCAGACCGCAAGCTTTCTTTGTGGGACTGGTGCTCAGCTCCCCCTCTGCAAAGGACTCTATCATCGGATAAAGCCTTTTCCCAGCCTCACAGAACTCACAAATACATGCAGTGTCCTCATTTTCTGGCTAGGAAACTGAGGTTCAGAGAGGTCAAGCCAAATATCCCAGGTCTCACAGTCAGTGATGACCCTTAAAGGGAAATGTGGCTGTAGGCAAGCTGTCTGTAGCTAAGTGTTAGGAGAATGAGAGGCCCAGCCCACACACCTCTACACACCCAGTGAACTATAATTCAGGAACAGGATGGGTGTCTGCAGTCTTAAGGGGTAGGTGGAAGAAGCCATGCCCACAGTGCTCCCAACCTTCCCCCCTCTCAGTTCTACTTCCTTCTCTGAGGCCTCGGAGCTGCTGACACGCTATGACATAAAATCGAGTTCAGTCAGCTCAAAGACCCTCACCTTCCCTGAAGCAGCCATCTCTCTGCAGAGGAGAGAGAGATAGGTGCCTCAGCCCCAGTCACTTTTGTTTTCAACTCACAGGAGTTTTTAGTGAGTCCCAAAATGAGTCACCGAGAAGAGGTACTTGCAAAATACCTCCCAGATTTAGCATGGCCGCTTCTCTGTGCACTGGGCCTGCCTGTGCCTCCCACTGCTAGCCACACTAGGAATGTGGTCTCAAGGGCAGGCTCTAGGTCTGCCCTGGAGACTTTCAGGATGAGGCTGTGTTGTTTCATTATCACTGTGCAATCGAGCAAGAGAAAACACCTTGGCTCTCTCTGCACCCTCCCTGGGGAAGCAGCCAGGAACTTCTGCTGCTGGCCCAGCCATCAGCAAGCTGTGACCTCGACGGGAGACCTTGACTCTCTGTATCCCCTTAATGGGGTAGCAATTCATGGGCCGCAGATGAAGACACAGCAGCTCACGGAAGGAGACAGGTGTGAGCCAAGGTGGGACATGCTCCTGAATTGAGGCGTTGCTGGAGTACGTAGACAGGAGGGCACTTTGTGAGAGAAGGAGGTATGGGAACCAGAACCAGACTGCACCCTGCCATGCCCTGGGAGCAAAGTGTCTCCTTAATAGCATCTTTGTGGTAGGATTTTAGTAGTTTACTAATGTGATTTTAGATGAGGGTGGGAGGGCAGTCTCATGTTCCTCAGGCTAGCCTTGAACTCATGGGCCTGAGATCTTCCTGCCTCACCTTCCCAAGAAGCTGGACCTTGCCAGCTGCAGTGGTGAGAGAGTGCCAGCTTGGTCTGTGGTTCTCATTTTCTCCATCCTCCCATCTGCTGTGACTATCCACAGCAACCTTCTCACCCCCAAAGTGCTTCTGATTGGAAGATCAATGGTGTGTATCTTCCTAAAGGGCAGGAGTGGAGGGAAAAGTATGTGGTACCCAATCCCCCTCTACCTGGAGATACCTGCCAGTTTGGAAAGGCCCTTGGGGGACTTCATGTTATATCAGGTGCAGAACAGGGCCTCTGGATTGCTGGGCCATCCTGGCTGCAAGTCTCAGCATCTGTGTATCCAAGAGCAGGAGACCTCACTAGCCAGGGAACCACCCCCCACCCCCACCAGCTGGCAAAATGGTCTCCAAGAGCACTTGTGCTGGCTAGTTTTGTGTCAACTTGACATAAGTTAGAGTCACTGGAGAGGAGGGAGACCCAGTTGAAAAAAACGTTCCAATAAGATCTGGCTATAGGCAGTCCTATATTTTCTTAATTAGTGACTGATGGGGGAGGACCCAGTCCATTGTGGGTGGGGCCACCCTTGGCAGGTGGTCCTGGGTTCTATAAAAAAGACTGAGCAGGCCGTGCAAAGCAACCCATGGCCTCTGCATCAGCTCCTGCCTTCAGGTTCCTGTCTTGCTTGAGCTCCAGTCCTGACTTCATTTGGTGATAAACTGTGATGTGGACAAGTAAGTTGAATAAACTCTTTCCTCCCCAAGTTGCTTCGGTCATGGTGTTTCATCACAGCAGTAGTAACCCTGACTGGAGACCTTGCCTTCCAGGACTGCCTGTTACTGCTGTGCCCTCTGGGATATTTGATAATGAAGGAGATTCAGGACATGAGATTTTCCCACCTCCACCCAAGCCATCACTGGCTCATCTTTTAAACGTGTATTATGAGCTATACTAACCTTTATAATGTGTGTGTGTGGGGGGGGTCGTTTTGTGTGTTGTTCCTCAAGAAGTATACACCTTGTTTTATTTGTTGCTTTTGTTTTGTTTTGTTTTTTAAGACAAGGTCTCTCACCATCTCACTGGGTCCTGGGACTCTGCAATTAGGCTAGACTGGCTGGTCAAAGAGCTCCAGGGATCCTCCAGTCTGGGTAGTGGGATTAATTAAAAACATTCCTGCCACCTCCAGTTTTCAGCTCACAGATTCAAACCCTGCTGAGCCATAGTGAGCACCCAGAACTGAGCCTTTCATGGACACCCTTCACTGGTTTTCTCAGCTTTGCCTTGAGGACCTCTGCAGAGCCTGTGAACACAGGAGTTTTGAGGCCTCTACGCTGCCACAAGCTGCCACAGGAGTGTGCAGTTTGCAGCTTCTAGAAGACAACATACCTGGCAGGAGGCCTGGGGGTGTCATTTTGACCCCTGGGGTCAGTGTGTCTGGGTGTGAAGGTCAGAGGTCAACTTTGAATGTTATGTCTTAAGAGCCCGATCATTTAGTGTTTTTTTTTAATTAATTTAAATTTGTGTGTATGGATGTCTTGCCTGCATGTATGTATGTATGCCACATGTGTGTCTGGTGCCCATGGAGGGCAGAAGAGAGCAATGGGTCCCCTGGAATTGGCATAACAGACAGTTAGGAACTCTGTGGGTATTGGGACTTGAACTGGGGTCTTCAGCCAAAGCAGTAAGTGCTCCAAACTGATGAGGCATCTCTCTGCAAGCATCTTTCTTTTTGAAATAAAGTGATGGCCTAAGGTTCACTGATTAGGCCAGGGTGGCTGGCCAGTGACTCCCAGAGGTCTACCTGTCTTGGCTGCACAGAGCGGGGATTGCATGCACCTGTCACGACCCTTGGCTTTTTGCTAGGTGCTGGGGACTTAACTCGGGTCCTCACATTTGCTCAGCAGGCACTTCACCAATTGAGTCATTTCCCCAGCCCTTAAATGGGCCTTTAAAGCTGAGGATGTTTGCCATTGGAACATAGGTCTTCTGATGTTGGTCTGAGAAAAATCATGGCTGGAGACTTGGTCTTCCCTCCAACCCTGCGACAAGGGTGGCAAAGGGTTCACGTTGGCTCCCAAATCTCCTTGGGGGCCTCCAGATTCAGT